ATTTCTACTTGAGACTATACCTAGCCAATCCTTCCTGAGTCCGTGGCATGTCATTAAAGCACACACTGGGGGCCGTGGTGCACACCTGTAATCCCAACCTGCAGCCTGAGACAGGAGGATTTTTGTGAATTTGAGGCCAGCCTGGGACAAATAGTGAGTTCAAGGCCAGACTGGACTTAATGAGACTTAATTATTTACAGAGCTCTACTAAGTACTGGTCATTTTCCTGATATTTATATAAGAGTGAATGCAGGAGATTATAAGACAGAATGTAAGTCACAATAAAAAAATGGTCCTTTCCCTTTAAGATACCATTAAACCTTCTGGTTGGTCCTATTAGTAATACAGCAGTTGCTTCTCTGACCATTGTAGTGGCCTCCTACCCTTGGCTGTTCCTTGCATTTACACTCAAGGCTGATTTTCCTTCCACAAATTTACCTCTAGGCTTTTCACAGTCTTTCTACTTTTACCTTTTGCATCCTATAAAATTACCTTCCTTTGGCAAATGCATACATACTCATACGTGGTGAGGTACACAATCATTTAAAGAAAGCATTTTACCAAAGATTTATTGATAGAGAAAAATCCAGAGCATTACATAAAAACAAAATCGAATACACCATGCACACTCTTCTGGGTTTTTCCCTTCTTGTGTGCTAAATGAAGGTTTGACCCAAAGCATTTCCCTGACCTCGCTTCTCTTAGCACTGTCTCCCTGGGCGACCTCATCTAATTCCACAGCTTCAACATTCACCTAATAATGTGATTCCTAAATCTCTGCCTCACACCATGACCTCTCTCTCCAGTTCAAATCTGCATTCTGAGCTCCCTGCCAACCGGCTCCACTCAGAACACCCCTGACACCCCAGGCTGGGATGTAATGACAAACCCAGAAGCTGTGTGTCCCCCTCTGTTCTCTGTTACTGTGTAGGGTACCACCAGCTTCCCGCAGCAGATCAAAACGGACATCTTTCTTTCCTCAGGCCCTGTACACAACCCTACCCATTCCCCTCTGCCGTTTCACTGACGTCTACGCCCCCTTTCAGTCACCTCTACCACCGTCCTGGTTAAATGCTTGTGACAGCCCTCCCAGGTGTGACCACAGCCCTCTGGCTGACTTCCCTGCTTTCGGTGTCTCTCCACTGTAACTCCTTGCATGCATTGCTGACACATTAGTACAGTTCCTAAACCGCGGTCTGTTCATGTCTTCCCATCCCTCAGAAACTGTCAACAGCACTGCCAGCTTAGAGGAGAAAGCACAGGCACAGAGGATGCTTTCTGTGGTTTGGTTGTTGTGACCTTGTTAGCCTTAGGATCACTGATACCTCTGAGCATACCACATTTCAACTAAGGAGATGGCCTGCGTTGACAACACAGGCTGTTTATTCTCTTTTTCCTATTTTTTGCATGTTACTTCCTCACATTGAAGACCTTTCTGTATGTCTGTCTGTCTGTCTCTTTCTGTCTTTCTGTCTCTCTCTTTCTTTTCTTTCCTGTCTTTCTCTCTTTCGTACTGGGGATCAAACTTGCAACCTCGCGCTTGCCAGGCAGGCACTTACGCCACTGAGCTAAATCCCCAGCCCTGACTTTTCTTTCTTAAGAGTGATTTCTTCACAAACCACCCTACACATCTGGGCTCGAATACCATTGAAGACCTGCTGTGTGTTCTCCCTTACATGCAAGTTTCACACTGTAGCAATCAGCTAAATCTGAGCTCATGAGATACTCTTCCACTTCACACACAGTGTGAGGACCTGTCAAAGGCCACTACCGTCTTTCTCCCCAGTCTTTAGGTTACACTGTCAGACACCTTATAAACCCCACACCACACATACCCGTTACTGTGTAAGCATTTGGCTACCTTTTCAATTTTTTGTTTTTATTAGTACATATTTGCAGTACATAGTGATGACATTCCTTGTGGGCACCTGGGACACGCACGTAACATGTCTCAGTTTCTTTTTCATTCCCTTGCCCTTTCCCCATCTCTTGGTCTCCTTTTCCTGAACCATTTGAACCCAACTGGTGTTGCATAATAGACTCAGGATCAAGCAACCTTGCAGAGAGTGCCAAAGCAAAGTCTGTTTCTATGTGGGGCTTCCACAGTTACATTAGCCACTGCATAACTCCCCAGTTAAAGTATCAGTTATCCAAAGGAACAATGCATAGCTGACAGTCTAGAACTTCGGAGATGTATTTGGAATAGCCACAAAGATCCAAATTTTTGGATGATCTAAGGCTTCTAAGAATTGTGTCCATAAGTACACCAAACTTACATTCAATTTATATAAGTGATTCTCAAACCACTCATTCAAGTGACATCACATTTGTGATGCGTCCCATAAACCAGAATCTAGAAAAGAAAGAACATTTGGTATAATGGTATTGTACAACAAATGCAACATCCCCTCATCTGATGTGTAATCCCCTACTTCTCTTTACCATTATACTTTAGCCTCTCTTCTTGTCCAAACCTTTGAATTCCCCACCCTTTTCTCCAAGTTGTTATGTAGGAGAATAATACTGCAAATATACCCTCTCGGACTTTACCCTATCTCTTTGTTTTTATCCACCATTATCCTAACTATGGAGGAAGCAGAAGATATATTCCTCAGTAAATGAATCAAGGAAATAATGAAGATGTTGGATTGTCTTCTCTATTTTTGCTTACTTAGAAAGGGTAAATTCACCTGAACAGGGAGGGGGCTTATCTGTAGAAATCTTAGAATTGCTTCCAGACAACCAGAACAAAAAGAAAATGTAGGCCATCTTTATACTAGGATAGGGGACTGGTGGAGAAAAGTGGCCAGAGAACAGCACATCACATGTATTTCCACTTCGAGCTTTAAAGGAATAGACTCGAACTGTATCTAATAACTGACATAAACCCCAGGGGATCAGTTACCTTAGTTTGGTGTCTGCCACAGTGTGGCCCAGGACTGGGCTGCACAGACAGCAACTGGGAAAATTCTCAACTAACATCAAATAATAGCAAATGACATGGGAGGACATTGTTCTTTATTAATTCTCTTTCAATTCTTACCTTGGACTGCACCAAGGTAAGATCTTCAGTGATTGTTACTGTATCTAAACTTCTCCAATACTTACTTACTAATCTTTTTAAACTACGATCGATAAAAGAGTTCGTGGTACTGCACAGAAAACAAAACTTAGCTAGAATTAATTGGATTTTTTCTTATATTCTTTGGATTTATTTTTAGGATTATCATATTCCTAAAATGATTATAGTGATATGAAGATTTTTATTCATATTTATAATATACTAATGTAAAGAAAATTCTGCCCCATATGTTTCTTTTCTAAAATGTCAATATACAGTATAATTACAATTAATGTCACAAATGCAGTCTCTACAGAGATGCTGAGATAGAGTTGAGGGTACAAAGATTCATTCAGTATCAACACCCATGAAGGGAAGGAGGAGGAAAATTCCTGCAGTGCAGGCTTGACAGGTGTTTGGCAGAAACTAGGGAACAAGTGAGAGAGTGCCAGTGGCTTTTGCACTGGCACTTCGGTCAGTCACAGGATACTGGATCCTCTAGAAGGAAGGAGACTTGGGTGCACAGATCTGCAGCTAAGGCTGATCCTGGAGAGTGCTATTAATCACACACTAGCACACACACAGACACACACAGACACACACACACACACACACACACACACACACGTGCACACTCAGCCAGAAGTCTTTCCATGAAAAGCAATCCAAGCACCATGTCTCCGTATGCTTGTGGAGACAGATCATTAAATGACAGATCATTAAAAATCTTTTCTTAAATCTTTCTTTGAGTCTCAGTTCTCTCATCTATAAATTGGCCTGAGCTGGACTTACAGACTTCAATCATTATTTTGAAAAGCTGTAAATATATTATTCTCCACAGGCATTGATTCATGAATTATTTTAAAAATACGACCTTTAATCTTTTAAAACTAGGAACTAAGAGTGAAGAGAACATGTTTCCAGTGGAACAGTATTGCAGTGGCTATGCCTTCAAACTAACCAGGTTAGGTCCCCACTTTCATTTTGCAAAAGTCACTAAAAAAAGGAAAGAAAAGAGGGGAAAAGAGAGAGGGGGAGCAGGCGAGGAAGAGAGAAAGTGGGAGTAAGGGAGGAGGAAAGAGGGGAGGGAGGGAGGGAGAGAGAAAAGAAAAAAAAAGGGAGAGGCAGAGAAAAGATATATTCCTATTCAAGATTTCAGAGTAAAAGGGAAAATCCCTAGGATCACAGCCAATTGTCTTGGGAAAAATTTTTCTTCCTGATCTATTTTTGGCAGTCAGCTCAACTTCATGCATCATTGTTTTACTTATGGCATGTACAGTAGCCAGAGAGAAACCCGTAATATCTTTCCTGTCTGGTGGGAATCTTATATTCCTATGCACAGTGACAAATGGCCTGATCACAACATTTTTTTTCCTGCAGGCATTATAGTGTTTTAAATATCTCTGAATCTGCGGAACACATTTAAAAGGAATAGGACTTACAACACACCAAGCACAGTAACCATAGTACAGATTAGCACAGATCGTCCAACAGTTTGGTAGCATCATTTTTAGAGTCTATCAGTGAACACAAAGCTATGAAGGGTGTGGGATATAGAAAAACAAAGGATATCCAGGCTAGAGAAGTACTCAGCTTGAGGAATTTTTTTCCTCCTAAAGTATATTACTCAAAAACCTTAAGCAAGGGCAGAAGTGAGATGGCATTGTGGGGGGAAAAAATTGTAAATGCTTAAGTAAGTTTAAGATTTTCACTGCCTTATTCTTTATTTTCATTTTAACCTTCTAGAAAAGGTAACGCTTTCTGGTAGTAGCTTGCGCCTCACACTAATTCACTGCTTCAGTTGTTTATACTTTAGTGGAGATTTTTCAAAAACATGAACTCTTCCCAGGAAAATATCTGTGACATTAAAAACTGACTCACGTTTCCTAGTTTTTCATGAAACAATGACATTTTTTTCCCTCTGATGCTCTCATCTAACTCCACAGGAAATTTTACTACCAAGCCACTTTCATCTCTTTCCCGGTTTGAAGATAAATGATCCTTGGTCTCCTTTAGACCTGCATAAATCACAAAGCAATCTACTAAGACATGCCTGTGGCACGCAGCTTCAACTAGAATCAAAAGGACAGTCAAGAATATCCATCCTGCTTACCCGGGGTGTAACCCAGGCAGGGTAATCCAAACACTGCGCACCTTTTCTTATACATACAAAGCATGCCACAAAGAAGTCGTTGAAAAATATGAATCAGCTCATCTCAGACAAAAAGTCCCCCGAGCACAGTGAGCTTCTCCTCTGGGCAACTGCAAATTGTCTGCCCTTCCTCAAAAAACATGGCCTGCTAGAAACCGAATTCTTACAAGTACTGCGTTGATAAAGAAATTCATTTTGTTGGGGAATTTTTAAATTATTCTTTATTTGTTTCTTATTATCATCAGCATTCATGAAACCCAAGAAGTGGAATACAATAAACACATCACCCCCCCATCCTGCATCCTGTGTCTCTGTTTGAGCATGCATCATTCTCCAAAGGACCACACAGAGCAGAGATACAGTTCTCCACCCCTCTTTTTTCACTTCACAAAAGCATTTTCTTTGTTGCTCCATCTTCAGATGTGTCATTTTTAAGGGACAAATTGTCCCACGTAATTGTATTTACCTCCACACAAGCTGTTGGATTGTGAGTCTTTAGGAGGCAGCATAAAGTCCAGGCTCTGCAGTGTAATTGGATCTGAGTCTGAGAGCCGGAACCTCGGGCTGATAACTCTGTGTCTCCCAGCCTCCGATTCTATCTGTATATTAAAATGGGACTCACGCTAGCATCTCTTTCCAAGGTTTATATAAGAACTGAATAGGACCCAGCAAGAAAAGCCCTTAGGGTCATTCACGTGTCATGCAACTGCACAATAGATGCTGTTTTTGTTATTTATTAAAAAGGAAAGAAAGAAATTCACTTTTTAGCGGATACCATTATCCAAGACGATATAGGAAAAATACTGCAATTTATTCAGAGGGGTAAAATCCAAGCTGTAGTTTGTACATTGTTATGCAACGTCCCTGCCCAAGTCTTGTCATCCCCAGCAGGAGGCTCCTAGCCAAAGGGCTTGCCGCAGCAGGTGATGGTATTGGACCCTGAGCTTGAGGCTTGCACCATGAAGCAATGGAGTCTGCTATCAGCCCAGTCACCCAAAACCACAACACTGAAAGGGAAAAATAGACATTAACTTAGTCCAGCTGCCACTTTGGGCCCAAAGAAAACTGAGGCCTGGGGAAGGCCACAGAAACAACAAACAGGGCCTGACCTCAGGCCAGCAGCTCACTTGTCTTTGTTCATGGCCTCTGCTTTGCTGCAAGTCTGGCCCTGTTCACAGCATACTGCGGATCTCTACAGGAATTCATGTCAGAAACTTAACTTCCCAGCCCGAAGCTTTTCTCCATCTCCTTGTTCTGGGTGAGGTCATCTTCTCTGGAAATCCCTATGATTTCTCTCTGCCAGCCCTCAGCCGGGCACACAGCAGTGAGGTCAGCATGTAAAGCACTAACGAGTGAAATCTTTGACTGAGCACAAACAAAGCCACATTCAAATCTAGAATGTTATTTCCTTATACTCCAAAAATATGATGAGTTCATCAGGTTCTTTATTTACTTGCTTTTCCTTTTTTCCCAGTAGTCTTGTATATCTGGGTGTGTTTAATTATTCAGTCCTTTCCTCCAGCACTAGAAAGACTACAGTTTTTCAAACAGATCATTTCAAGGTAGTTACACTTGACTTAAAACAGCAAGTCCTCGGTATCTATTCTCAAGAAGACAATCATACCAAGAGGTTTTTTTAAAGTAGGAATAAGTTTCTGACTTACAGTTTATCTACAAACCAATCACTACTGTTAGAGAATAAAAACAAATTTCTGATAAAATTTATCACCTGATGTAATCTTTACAAAAACTATATAAATGGACTGGCTTCTGCCCAGTTGACTGGCTTTACCCCGTAGGCGTCTGTAGCATTATTTTTATGTAGCAGCTTGTTAAAGTAACATACTTTAGGGTTTTGTTTTGTTTTGTTTTTTGTACCAGGAAGCGAACTCAAGAACCCAGCCAGCCACTTATGTTGCTGAGCTATATCCCTGGCCCCAGCTCTGTCTATTTTTGACAGACACCCCAAGTTAATTGATCCATAAATTTTTTTAAGATTTTAAAGAAATCAACTTTATAAGTTTCTCTCTTTCTTTTTTGTTTGTTTGTTTTTGTCTTTTTGAGACCGAGTTTCACTATGCAGTCCATGATAGCCTTGGGCTTATTTTGTAGCCCAAGCTGGTCTCAAACTTCAAAAATTCTCCTGCCTCAGCCTCCCAAGTGCTGAGATAACAGGAGTACACTATCACATCCGACAATAAGTTTCCACCTCCTTTATTCACCAACTCAAATTAGCTTAGTTGAGCATTGCCAAACAGAAACAAATAAAGATGACTTGCAATTACCGAGCTCTACTATGGGAACAGGTACTTTGAAAATGGCAGACAGTTCTTGGTTCTCCTTGAAGAGACTAAACATTAGCAAAGTATACTGAGGTTTCAACCCACATAAATTTTCCACAAATTTCAAAAAGGTATTGACTGAATGAGTAAGATGTTCACAAGCCTTACGTGTTCTTTTTATAAGAGCATTAGGTTTGTAGGAAAATCTTCTTTCTTGTGCTTATTCTTCAGGAGATTCAGACTTTTCCCTTCCCATAGGCTCCATCTTCTCTGCCATGTAGAACTCCATTTCTATTACCATCCAACTCATAGCCAGGGGAAAGACTCTCTGACCTGCATATTATAAATCAAATCAATGCACATCTACCATGTAACCAGGGTGTGCACAATATGATACAAGTTGCTATGAAAAATACAAAGACGTGTCCCTGTCTCCCAGGACTTACAATCTATATCATATTTTTGGGGGACCGTGACTAAGTGGGGTTCAACAAATGAGCTCACTGGAGACAGGACAGAGAACGGCCTGAGAACACTGGTGCACTCTGTGCCCGGCCCTTCCACTGCCTGGCCAGAGCAACCCAGAGCAGGTCCCCGCTTGGACAACCCAATTTCTAAATGTTTTAAATAGTAGTTACCTTCACAGACTTCTCGCTTTGGGCCAAGCTAAGTACACTCAATCTTTGCCACACCTTTATGAAGCGGGTATTACAATTCCTGATTTACAGATGTGGAAACTGGTACTGACAGGTTAAATTGTTTAAGATTAAATCAATTTTATTTACTTATTTATTGGGTGGCACTGAGGGTTAAACCTAGAGCCTTGTGCATGCTAGGCAAGTGTCCTGCACACTGAGCTGTCTCTCCAAGATGAAATCACTTCTAAAAGGTGGCAAAGAAGAAATATGAACTCAAGACAAAAGTAAATGCCGACCTGCTCAATCAGAATGTAGAGACCTACTTCATCAGTATACTTATTCTACCTCCAGTGTCATCCATGTCTGACAACCTTCCATTCAGGAAAACCAGGCTCATTGAAAGGAAACAGAAAGAAAAGCTTCACAATGGAACATAAACCTTAGTCAGAACCATCAACGCCCTCTCTTTTAATATTGTTTACATTAAGCTATAACATGAAATGGTGTTGCCCAGAGTTGTACTAAAGATATACTGTACTGTTGTAGTCAGGGGTTGTACACAGAGAACAACTCAGGTCAGGACATGGAGTTTATAATATTTTTATAATGGTCACCGGAAGTTAACACAGGAGAATGCAGGAAATCTATCCGCAACACCAACGACATAGATTATTTAAGTCAAGAGCCTAAACCCCACGACAATGTCCCACATGAGTCCAGATAAAAACCCAGAACTCAGGACAACGCCTCCACGAGTCCAACTGGAAGTCCAGGACCCACAAGGACTCACGCCAGTCTCTTTTACGGATTCATGCCGGGAAGACCCAAGGGTCAGTGGTGGAAGCCAGAAAGTCCATGCCAACAGGAAAAAGGAGCTGTGCTAGTGGGATGAGGGTTCCACACTGGAGCTGAGAAGTCATACTCACAACAAAGAGCGGGGCTGTCCTGAAAGGAACCACAGCTGTCCTCAGCGACACAGAGGCCCCGAGCTCCTCCGACAACAAGCACAGTCGGGAACGTGCCAGGAAGCAGCGTGACGAGTTCACCCTGGAGACCAGGCAGCACAGGTCTTCCCCTCCGGAGCCAGGAAGCAATGCTCGATGTGAAGACCAAAGCTTCTCCAGGAGAACCAACAGCTCAGACAGCAACTCGTAGGAGAACCAACAATGCCTCCATAACACCTCAATCCCTCTCCAACACCTCTCTTCTCCACCTATTTATCCTGGCAGCCCTCCTCAGGTGGAGCATCTTCTCTCAATGCATGCTGATGTAATCCAGCTGGCGTTAAGTTGACCACTAGTTATGGAACCATAACATGTACTAAATATAAAACTAGCCCAATTAAGTTTTAAGAATTTTCTTCTCCAAATTCTGAATGGAATGTGTAAATTAATTAAGCTTTGGTGCTATAAACTGGAGATAATCAGTCTTAACCTGCTGAAGAGCCTCTATGTCATCCTGCAGTCAGAAAGCACCAAATAATCAAGCACATCTCACATATTAAAAGACACATAACATTTTATTATAAAATAACACTACTTTCATCCAAATGGCTAAATAAAGGTTGCTGCTCGTTCTTGACATTTTTTAACTCAGTATGAGATCTGGAATTAATAATAAGTTTCCAGGGCCCATAAATTCCTCTGCTACCAACTAAGCTGGTGATGCTAATGTCAGAGAAAACGCTTGCCCATTCAATTTTAAAATTGATTATTTCTGCCAACCTAGGTAACATAGCAAGACTGTGTCTCCAAAAAAAATTGATTATTCCTAAAGGATAATTCAGTAATAATAGCAATTATGCCACTTGTTTTTTAATACTAAGAGGTGAATTTTGCTTTTCGACGAGCCTGGATTCATCTGTCAGCTTTTTAGCATACTAGCAAATTATGTAACCTCTCCAATCCTCATGTGTATATACCCTTCTCAAGATCATTGTAAAAATCACCCAAAGTACTGCTTTGGCACAATGTCTGGTACACAGCAGAGGCTGTTTGATGAAAAGTAGTTATTATTAACAGCTGTTTACAGAAAAGAAAAAATAAGGTAATGAGGATTAAGTCTGGGCTTCTCGAAAGAACAAGGCCTGGCTTACACTCAGCATCTCATCCATCACAACACCATACCCACACTGTGGGCCATTATCGCATATGGTTCCAGCTCTGCTGGATGAATGGGATGGATTGCTCAATAGGAATTGCTGTGTTTTTATGTTTTAAGTGCTATTTTTCCCTGAGGCTTTCAGCATGTCACCGTATTTCAATAACAAGTGGCTCATGTGTCTCAAAAACCAAGCACTGAGGATCACTGTCAGAGTCTGTTTATTCTTGAAAAGGTCACCCTCCTGGGGAGAACCTTATTTCTCCTTCGGGCAGTGTGCAGCAATATAAAGTTTGGGTACTCACTGCCAAGCTGTTCCCAGCTCAGTCATGTTCGGAGTGGACTCCTGAGCTTGGCACCATGGCAGGCAGCACAGCAAAGCACTCACGGTCCTAAAATACAGTCATGTGGTACCAGGAGACACATGCACTGAACAGTGTTATTCCTTGAGGAAAGACTTGAGATTTTGCTCTTTGGTCTCTTGAATACTGCTGGAAAAGTCTCTTTCTGCTTTGTGGTCCCAAGATTACTTCAGCTGCTTCTCCCAGTGAATAGTAGCTCACCACCGAACTCCCCATGCTGGGCAGAACAAGACGCATGGCTGTTCAGCTTGTCATTTGCCACTCCTTACTGTCTGGGTTGCAAGAGTCACCTAGGCACTCTCAGGTCTCCCTGTCTGCAGAATAACAGCAAAACAGAACAACAAGAAGAAAACTATGTTGTCTTTAAGACGCCCATCTCAGCTCTCAAGCTCTGTAATTCTATTACTGTCTTCCCTTTCAAATATACCTCTTTGTTATGCATTTCATTTTTTCTAATGATGAATAGTGTGTAATACAATTAATAATAGCTACTTAGAAGATATAATTAAGTTTATATATCATTTTCTACAACTAATATGCAATGAGTTTTAATTTTATTCATAATTACTAACTTCAGGATTTTTTAAAAAAAACTCTGTACCTTAAGTGGGAATATTACACCATTTTATAACCTCTTTTTGTGTTAATAAAACAACATAATAAGACACCACCCACGCAGATGATAAACCTCATTCCATCACCAAGAAGTATAATTAGCAAATTAAAGAGTTGGACTCACACTTATATCACTGAGGTTTTGTTTTCATTTAAGTAAAGCCTCTGACCTAAATCATACTGACTATAATATGGTACTAGGTAAACAAAACCCTGTATGTCTTTAGCAACTATGCTTTATTTTCCCATTTTGCATTTCTCAACATGCCATCTAGGTTTTGTTTACACTTCGATTTGATTTAGTCAAGATTTTTCTTCAATATAATGTAGTATCTTCTGAAAATAGAAGTACAAGCACATAGATAATGTGTGGATGCTTATTCACAACAAACACTCCCTTGTGTCAGCTTTTGCTGTTGGCGCATAAATAGAAATATTGGTGCTTTCAATTTAGAGAACTTTAACCTTTTCCTATGCCTTCTGAAAAGTGTCTTGGAAAGAAAGACCATTGCCTTAATTCAGGGTTCGCTGACTGTTTCTGGAAGAGCAGGACATAAAGCTCCCAGTCAGCATGCATTCTCTATAAGACAGGCACTGCTGCAATGGGAGAGGGACATAACCTCTTATAAAAAGTGCTCCCTCAGATCTAAAGGTCATCTCACCAGTCTGGGAGGCCTAAATATATGGAGAGAGATAGGCAGAGTGAAGTTCAAGTGTTGACTGCCATTTACTAGTTATGTGACCTTGGGCAAAGCATTTAATCTTTGCAGAGGTCTATCTCTCCATTTGTAATATGGGTGAAATATTGCCCACTTCATAAGAGTCAAGCAGAAATCAAATAATCATGTAATCACAAAACATGGTGGCACCTAATCACTGAGGGACACTCAGTTATTGTTATTGCTATCACTGGTATTTCTATTATTATTACCATTATTGTTATTATTATTATTATTATTATTATTATTAAACTGAGAAGACTACTCATGGTCTTGACCATAACTTTCAGTCAGAAGCATTAATTTCCCCCAGAAAGTTCTTCTGTGGACAGGGTAAGGGAATTAGCGCTCAAAGACAGAGAGAAAACAGCATCCTTGAATGGGTACCTTTGAAAGATGCTCAAAACAGTCTTTCTATACCTGCCAGAAGCTGCATTACTACCCACCAGGCTTGTCTCTGCTCTTAGGTACTCACTCCATTTCTGTTTCCATGCCAACCTTCCTAATGTACTTTGTGCCTCTCCTCTATTAGTCATCAAACACCCTAATTCAATGACAGATAAGGTGGGGATATCCCATCAGGTCCCTGCTTCTACAACTGGGAGAAGAGATGGATTAAGAGGTGGGATTTAAACAGAGACTGAGCCACAGCAAACAAAACACACACTCATACGCAGCAAGCACACACACTCCCATTCACACTGTTGCTCTTCAGCTAAACATACCCAGCTTGGTTTCTGCTATCAATTTTCATGATGCTACCCTCAGACTACACTCAAACCTCTGTGGCTGTCTACCGCTTTCCAAATCCTGACCATATGTATATAGAATCTCCAGGCTCTTTTATTACAACTAAAGATGATTAGTCTCTTTCATAAGATAAATTTCTATCACAAACTCCAGAGGAGTATCATAACACAAAGTTCTGAGAATGCCTTACATTTATTACAAAGTGTGTGTGAACCCAAAGCCAAGAAACAGATCTCTGATGTATTTATCCCATCACTGGGAAAAAATACCCAGCACGTGCCACTTAAAAGAGAAGACGGGCTTTGGTCCCTGGTTGGCTCCAAGGCAGAAAAACATGGTAGAAGGGTATGGCTGAGGAAAATTGCTCAGCCTATAGGAGCCAAGAAGAAAGGAAAGACAGACACAAAGATAGAAGAAAAGGAACTGGGGAGGAATCAAGGAAGAGAATCGCCTTTCTAGGTGACCTGCTTCTACAGTGACCTGCTTCTCCAACCAACTCCACCTCCTAACAGCCCATGAACTCATCAACAGATTACCATACTGATGAGCATGGCACCCCCATGATCCAATGGCCTCTGAAACCCCACCTCTGAACACATGAAGCTTGGGGGAACATTTTATATCTAAACCATAACACCCAAGTTCAGTATCTTCTTTTTATTTTAGTTGGTCTTGGACAGTAGGTTGGTATTAAGACAACTACTTTGTGGTCAGTATTATTTCAATCATTATTCTATGTTACTTTCCCTTTAAGCAACGTATTATAAGTTCAGTAACTGCCCTGGGACAGTTTTACAATTGAAATAATTTTAAATCATAGAATTAACCTGCTAGGCAAAAGTACAGTTTTTCAAGGAGATTTCTAAGGCTTTTTGAAAATGCTTATAGGTTTAAGAATGACATGCATTATCATTTAGTCAAATATGACCCAAAGGTGCTTTAAGTCTTTCCTTTTGGGAATAAATATATTGCCTTTGTCTACGTTCAGTATCAACAGCATCCTCTGCTTCAAGAATTTTGATACAAAAAAAAAAAAAAAGAATTTTGATACATTAACCATAATTTAGGAAAAAAAGTCTAGACAGTGTTTGGAGATTAAATGGAGTCTCATTTTGTGATTGTTTATCAAATGCCTTAGCCAATCAAATTTTAGCCATCCCTCTCCATTTGTTTTGATGTTAGAATAAAAACTTTTTAAAATCAATTACTGTTCAAATATAACTTCAAACAGATTTCAAAGAATCCAAGTACATTCAATAGCATTTGGGAAGAACCAGTTTCTCACTTCCTATTGTAGCCTCTTGCCTCTGCACTAACTCTAGTTTGGCAGGATTTTATAAGTGTAATAACTGCACTTTTACAATTAAAACAGCAGTATATTCAAACATGTACCCATACTTAATGTAGGCAAACATGCCCATGCAACCTCGCTAACCCTGAATTCTTCAGTCGATTATCCAGTCTTTGTGACACGGTTTTATTCTACTACTGACCTGAGTTATGCTGCCATTATTTGTCAAATACTGGGAATTTCCAATTGTTTTCCTTCTTTGTGAAGACAATGGGTCAGAATGTTTGAAGCTTAGGTTATCTCAGAAAAAGGGACATATGGTCCAAGAAAGAAGCAAGCATCCTGTTCTGCAGGAGAGAAGGTGTGACAGAAGGCATGCCTAGGGCACCGAGTACTGAGGGTCGGGGAGGCCAGAGCAGCTGTCATCTGGTAGAGAGGATTCCAGTGATGCCTCATCCTAGATAGCCTTGGTTAAGCACTGACTGTGTGCAAATATCCTGCCAAGCACCTGTGTGCCCATTTCATACTCTGACACAAAAGCCTGCATGAGCCCTCTTTTACAAAGAGGAAATGAGTTTGGAAAGGCCATTTAGAACTCTAGAGTCCATATGCACACCCAAGGCTGCCTGACTTCAGAGACTATGCTCTGGGTTTAAACCTGCTCTTAGACCAAAAGCAGTGCTGTGAGATCTGTAGGAAGCTTCCAACTTTTCAAGCGATTTCCAGCCAATGTCCCCTGGTCAGTCTCTGCAACACTTTGAGCCACCTTTGAGTGGAGTGTGGCCTTGGCTTCTCAAACCAGGAAAATGTCAGCAGTAGTGTGGGCAGCCTAGAGGCATTTCTTCAGGTTTTTTCCTCTAAATAATTACTGTAACGAATGCAATTTGCCATTTCTGGCTCCTCACACTTTCCGCCTCGTGTTTCTTTTTGATTACTTATGATTATCATAATTAACATTTATTGGACATATCACTGTGCAAAAAATAGAGGAAGACAGACACGCCCACCTTTTTTGGCTCATGATCCAAATATTTAGATTACAAACACAACGTTTTTGGCATGTTAATTTTGTATTAAGAAATAGAGAATTTTCAGGAAATGTCAGATGCTTATTTTAGGATCAGAGTAAGGAGCAATTCACCCCACACAAAGATTTGAACTTGACAAGCAAGGCCCTGTCCACCAACACACATGCGAGGAAAGCAGGGTCAAGGTTTCTTCCTCAGCACAATTGTTAGACGATGGGCATGTTTAACCCTCAGTAAAGCAGGAAGGGGCAGGGCTGCTGATCATTGTAGCCATCAGGGCACGAGGCCAGAGACATTAACAGAAGTCTCTGCTTACCATTCCTTATAGTCACAGATAAATCCAGCGCAGATCCCTTTGCTAGACTTTTAGGAGACACAAAAATAACATAATTAATCTACTTATTCTCCTTTCACAGTCTATAGAATAAGATTGGGAGCACAGAAAGTAAAAAAACTCACTCTAGTGTACTCACATCCACACTCTCTGCCCAGATTCTCTTTTAAAGACAGAATCTGAAGCCCAGGTGCACAGCATTTCCCATTTAAGAAACTGCCAGTTTCCTATGACATGATATTGAAGCCCACAAGATGAAAGAGCACACTAAATACTTGACAGTATTTTTTTTTTTTAGTTAATAGTATTCAACCTCCAGAAATATGAATTTCCTGAAGGCAGGAGTGAGCCCCATCTCTGAGGTGACATTGCATAACAAACACAAATTTCCACTGAAAGCCGACTATGCACTTCAACGAGCCAGAGTACAGAAAGTTTTATTAATGATCCAGGAGCAGCCATGTGTGTTCAGTCTGCGTGAACCATGGGGCAGAAGCGAATTTTAGTCTAGCACTTTCATTCTAAAGTTAAATGGGAAATCATGTGTATTATCCACGGTTATGCAGTTGGTTAGTAG